ACCCATCCTTTGCGGAGTCTCAATATTTATTAATTTGCTGGATGTCGTAGCAAAAGATGCGGTGTTGAGACCTGCTGCTAACTTATTTCCACAAATTCTGTGATTTAAACATTCGTTTTGCAAACTCCAGCTATCGTCTATGTTTTCTACAGGGTAATTATAAGCGTAAACTCGGCGACTTACAGTTGTACACCAGAGATGAGCGATCCGAACAGGCCAACCATTCCAAGGTACTCCATGCGACTATGCTGCTTCACAAGAAACTCCTCGGAAACATTAGCCACAGCGTACAGAAGGGAACCGCCAAGACAGAGCAAATCACCAACAACTCGTTGGTTACCTGGATTTAATAGACTTTGACAAAAATTAGCATTCTTTCAGAAACTGGTAGACTTAAGCAGATAAAAACTAATTTTAAAATTTAAGAAAATTTACGTCTTTAGAGCTTAATCTATCGAAGGCGATACAGTTTACATACAAACAGAGAAAATTCTAATCATGATGCACAAACCTCCAATAGTTCCCTTCTCATCTAAAATATCGGCCCAAATTAAACAAGCTATGCCTATCAAACATATACAAACTCCTGAAACAGATAATTGGAAGGACCAAGATCAAACCAGACACGATGATTACCTATTATATGAGATATCAAATACCGTACTGAAAGAAACAACCATGAAAGTAGTAAAACCGTTGGAATGGTCGAACAGTCGAGGAGCTGAATGAGTGATTTAGGGAGTTAGAGTGTAGTGAGTAGAAAATTACCTGCACACTGGTGATATTCGTGAACTGATATGCATAGACTATCATATAGTTGGCTTCGACGTCAATAAGAGCTAGGATGAAGTACTGCAGGCCTCGCCGTCGCAGGACACCCAGCAGGCCCTGCTCACCGGTCTTGCACGACAGCGCCGTGCAGTAGACAAAGCACAAGAGGAAGTAGTTGGTGAAAGATTGAGCTGCAATTGTAGCACCGTTAGATTGGACTGCTCACCGGTTATAGACAATTTAGGACCGACAAAGAATGCAAGGATGTGTTGCGAAATGTATATTTCGCATATTTCAAGAAGAAACTGTCCTTGAAGTAAAAACATGAAAAATGAGCGACAATTTCTTCACGAATACAAAGTATGTGCCATAATACAGTGCAGAGAGAAAATTCATTGTTGCTTCATTTCTGTATAAGCTCTGCTCATATGTACTGGTAACGGAAATGATAAACTGTCCACTTTGTGATGAGAGGAGGGAGGGAAATGAATGCAGGGTATAAATTTCAAGAAGAAACTGTCCTCGAAGTAAGCAAACATGGAAATGAGCGACAATT